ATAGCTTAAAGAATTTTGAGAATAATATTATTAATTAATAAAATAGGTTTTAATATTAATTTATTACTTTTTTTTATAAGTAATAATAGATAATTAAAATTTATTAATAATCTAGCCAAGTTTATTAGAAGAGTTCGAAACTATATATTAATATACTAATAAGCCTTAATAAAAGATATTAATTTTATTATATAGGAATTTAATATTTTATAAAATAAAAGTAAAGCCATATTATAATTAATATAAATTATTAATTAGTATTTAAATAAGTTTAAATGTTTTTTTTTTTAGGATATTTAATTATTATAATTACTAAAGTAATAGTATTTCATTTATTTAAATTTTAATAATAAAAACTAGAGCCTTTAAAAAAGCTATAAATTTTATATAAGCTTTTATATATATATATATATATATATTAAAAGAGCTAGTTATTATAAAAGCGTTTTTATACTAATTCCTTTAATATAATAGGAAAAGCTTTTACTAGTATCTTTTTTAAAAGCTTTATGTATTAGTAAATATCGAGAAAAATAATAAATTTATAATTAAAACTATTATTAAATCTATTATACTTTTATATTTCGAAATATATTTTTATTATTTCTCTAATAAGCTTTCTAATAATAATAATAGATATTATCTAATAAATCTTTAAACTCGGTAATAATAATAATAGTAATAAAAGTAAAAGTAGTAAATAGCTTTAATTTAAAAGAAGTAAATAAATAGCTTAATTTCTTAATTAAAAATATCTAATTTCTTTATATCTAGTTTTATTTATAATAAAATAAACTAATATAATAAGTTCCTAAAAAAGATCTAATCTAATTAGATTATTTTTAATAATATTAGCTTTATTTTATATGTATTTTATTTTATTTTAAATATAATTAATAAATAATTATATAATAATAAAGCTTTTATAATTTTATTTAATATAAATATTATTATATTAAAGTTAGATTCAAAGACTTTATAATAGTATATAGCTAATTTAATTAAATACTATAATATTAAAGTTCTTGAAATTATCCTAAAATAAATTTCATAAATTATTATTATTCTTTTTATATAAAGTATACTAATATATCTTAATAATTAGATATTTCTAAAAATTATTCTTTATTATTATTGGTATAGCTATTCCTTTGGGAGTCACGTGCGTAGTTACGGGATACGGGATACGGGATATGGGCAATGGGATATAGGTAATGGGATATGAGATACGGGATATAGTTATATAACCTCGCATCCCATTAGTAACTCGACTAGTAGACTAGACCCCTTTAGTTTTAGCAGATTTAGGAATCGCATATTAATACTATAATATTATAATCCCTATTTCTAAAAAACAATAACTTTACTAACTAATATAACTAGTATTTTCATACCTATATAATAATATCATGTATTACTAGTAAACTAATACTAATTAGTTTATATATATAGATTAAAGAAGATTTTAGATTAGTCCTAAAAGTATTCGGTAGCCTAAGACAAATCTAGTCTATTCTATATTAAAGGAGGGAACTACTTATTAACTTTATAAAAGTATTCGGTGGCCTATAGAGAAGATATTTAGCTCTTACTAATTAATAAGCAATTAGCCATTTGACTATTTATTTATTTAATTTCTACTATTCTTTAAAACTAACTTCTTTTAGCCCCAAGATTACTTTCTTGGAAACTATCTTTTCTACTTATATAATACTTGTATCTATAGGACCCTTTCTCCAGAATATATACCCTATATATGCCCTTAAAGCTATTTAACTACTACTTTGATTTTATTATTAAATCAAGTCCTTTAAGCTTTAGACTCTCCCGGAATTATAATATTTTACTTCCTAAATTTCTTATTATAGACGAAATATTTAAGGGCAAAATATTTACTTTAATACCTATAATATCCCTAGATATCTGGAATATCTAATATCTAAATCAGGTATCTAAATACCTTTATTACCAAATCCTTTCTATAAACCTATTATAAACTACCTTACTTTTAAATTCCTCCTGCTATGAACTATATATATATACTAGAAAGAACCTGAATTCGGTTTAGTATAGATACTAATAAGAGAAAGAAACTAATTAAGAAATAAGAGGATAGTATTAACCCGGTAACTATAATAAAGGCTGAACTTTAGGAATATATAACTACTAAGATATATTAGTATATCTTATATAGGAAAAGTAATAATAATCTATAGGATCTGTTTTAGGATAACTTTAAAAACTTTAATACTATAATATATAGTCTAATTAATTATATACTTATATAAAATCTTTGAGCCTAACTTTAGTATAGTAGTATTTATATTAAATAGAACTATAGAAACCTTACTATTATATAATTCTTTATTAACCTTGCCTAAAAAGAGATAAAGAGTATATAAAACGAAGCTAATATTAATAATAATAATCTAATTAGAACGGATTTTCTTTAGGGACCTATTATATTAGTTTATCTTACTCTAGATAGAACTAGATATAAGAGAACTAGATAATCTTAGTTAAGAAATTAAGCTATTTATCTATTTCTTCCAAATTAAGGCTATTTACTACTTTTACTTTTACTACTACTAGTATTATTACCAAACCCGAACTACTATTAATTAGTACCTACTATTTCTGCTAGGAAGCTTATTAGAGAAGTAGTAAAGATATACTTTAAAGTATAGAAGTATAACGGAACTAATAGTAGTTTTAATTATAAACTTACTATCTTCCTTAATATCTACTAATATATAGAGCTCTCAGAAAAGGTACTAGCGAGAGCTTTTCCTACTATATTAAAGGAACTAGTATAAGACTACTTCTATAATAACTAGCTCTCGAGCCATATATATAAAAAGGCCTATATAAATATTTATAGCTTCTTTAAAGGCCCTGGTTTCTATTATTAAAATTTAGATAAATAGAATACTATTACCTTAGTAATTATAATAGTAAAGAACTCTAAAAAGACAATATTTAAGCTTATCTAAATACTAATTAATAACCTATATAAATTATAATATAGCCTTGCTCCTGCCTTATAAAATACCGAATTTCTATATAATAAGATTATTACCTCCTATTAAGGCTTACTAGTATACTAATATATAATCTCGAACTCTTCTAATAATCTCGGCCAGCTTATTAATAAGCTCTAATTATCTATTACTACCTATAAGAAGAAGTAATAAATTATTACTAAAACCTATTTTACTAATTAATAATACTATTCTTAAAACCCTCTAAACTACTATTTGTCCGGAAATTATTAATATGAACCTAGTTATAACTTCAGAACCTGTAATAATTACTTCAAGCCCTATAATTATAATAAGTATATTTTAAAGTCATATTTTATATATAAGAGACCCAAATACTACTTATAAAAGTATATACCGGAGAAATAAGAGGCTAAGAAGGCTCGATTTAAAAATAGAAATATTTACTAATTTAGATCCCGAAATACCCGTAACTTTAATAAACGCTTTAGTAATACTTATATATAGTATATTACTAAATTCGAAGAAGAAAAGAATAATAAGAGTAGTAAGGACAAACTAGTAAGTAATGCTTTTAAAGCCTTATTAGCAGAAACGGATAAAGAAAAGAAATATTACTCTGATTTCTATTTTACTTCTATTAAGAGCTTCCTAGTCGCTTCTATAGCCCCTGCTTTTATTATTTCTATAACTAATATTCTTGTAAATAATCTTACTTTTCTTTCTCTTATATACTAGATAATAGGCAAAAACCATATCTTAGAACCTATTAAATAAATAGAAAATGCCTAGACATTTATAATTAATAGTATATTAAAATATAATACTTACTACTTTTATAGAGTTATAATTAATACCAGAGCCTCTAGATTCTTAACCGCTAGTTCTGACTAATTCCAAGCTTTATAGCAGACTAATAGTAGTATTAAACTTAATAAAACTACTAAAGGTCAAGTTAATATCTAGTTTAGTATTAGATCTATATCTTCTATTAGATCTATAATAGTAAGAATACTAATTAGGCAAGTATAATTCTATATTATGCCTATAAAGACTTTATTTCTATTTAGCTTAGCTAATATAAATAAGCTAGGAGTTTACTTTAATAATCTTACTAATTATCTCATTATTTCTAATAAATACTTTATATCTATAATATAATATTTTAGATACTTTTTCCTGCTTTAGAATACTATTCTATAAAGCTTTATTTCCGAATTCTTTACTTATAACCCCTGCTTTCTTATAGAGGTCAAATTATAATATTTATATTATTATTTTAATTATTTATTTATTAGTAAGCTTTGAAATATACTAGAATAAGTAGGCTATAATATTAATATAGAAGCCCTTAAATACCTTATAAAGTACTACGAGTAATACCAGAAATTCGGATAATTACCGGAATAATTTAAGTTTAACCTAAGAAATAATATTAGCTTTAACTACTTTATTATTATTAATATTTTCTATATTTCTGGTAAGCCTATACTCTATATTATTAATAAAGGTACTAGATATTAAGCCGGCTAATAGCTTTAAAATATTAGTATATTATATACTTGGGATATTATAAAGTAGTATTAGATTAATACCTATTTAGGCCCTTCTAATTAGATTATAGCAGATACCGGAAAGCAGTTTACTAGTAAGGAATTTGCTTAGCTTGCAAATACTATAGGAACCAAGGTTAAAATCGTTCCTATAGAAGCTTATAGTTCCGTCGGAATTATAGAATACTACTATAGCCCGATTTAATATACTTATTTTATTATTACGGCCGAAATTAATAGAATTAATAAGGATACTATATTTTAAATAGCTTTTAAGGCCATTAATAATTTCGCTAGACCCAATAGTATTATCTTAACTCTCTTGGTTTATGGCGCTTTACCCCGAATAACCGAATATAATACCTTATTACTAACTATATTATAGTAATTAGTAGTACTCAAGAAAGCAATAGTAGAAATTCAGAAACTTTGAGCTAGATACCAGATTACAAATGCCTTAAATACCCGAAATAGTCCTAGTACTACTAATATCTATAAACTTCCCTTGAATTCGGATGTTCTTATATAGTATAAAGGAAATACTAGTTAACTTAGTAATTGGGATAGGCCATATAAGCTAATAGCTATTAATAGGGAGGACTATATACTAGCTCTATTATGTAGTAATACTACTTTCCACTTAACCTCTATAAAGCCCTTTTATATAAGGGATATTAAGGTTATTACTAATAGCCCCAAACCTAAACCTGTTCCCGAACTTTATAGTAAGGCCAAAGATAATACAGGTATAATTCCTCCTACTATTCTTGCTATTCTACCAAAGTATAGCAGAGAATACCCTTGCAAGAACCCGGATTTTACGGTATTTCTATAGGATAATAACCTATATAAGAACTCCTGTCAAGTTAAAGTTACTAGCTTCCTGGAAAAGAGTATATTTAAGATTATTTCTAGATCTCAGGTACTAAAGGAAGTATGTATTTTTAACTCCCGGTTTATTAATAAGATTAAGAATAAGGGTACGAAAAGAGAGTTTAAGAAGTCGAGACTAGTTATCTAGGCTTATAATAATAGTAAGAAATATATGGTATTAATATAATTACCTACTATTTAATATATTAGCCAGAAAATTATTCTTAGTATTATTACTATAATAATAAATATTACGAAGCTATATTTATATAATATCTTATAAGCTTATATCTAATTAATAACCTTATTTAACCGTAATTTCTATATTAATCTATTTTATAAGCTTATTAGAGAGCTAAATCTGAATAATAATTTAGTTCTAAAGATTATAAAACTATTATATAATATACCAGAAGCTAGGAACTACTAGTTTAAGACTTATTATTCCTATTATATTAATAAGCTTTCTATAGAATAGTTAACTTATAATCCTTGCTTCTTTTATAGCAAGTAATTCTTTAGAATTATTAGCCTTTAAACTAATAATACCCTATTTATTAGAACTAATAATTTTATACAGATAGAGTAACTAAAGCTTTAAGAGGCTAAGTTCTTAGCTAAGAAGTATAAATGCCTTACTATTAACTATAATCTCAAGTTTAATAGAGGTATTATTTATATGGATATTACTAGAATTACTTTTATATAGAAATACTAATATAAAAACCTCTAAACTATTTCTATAAAGAATACTACTACTATAAGTAGTAGGAGTACTATTTATTAAGATCTCTCTATTAAGAACTAATATATTACCTAATATACTAGAGAAGCGTATATTGTATTAGTCTATTAACTAGAAGCTTTATATAACCTATTAATTACTATTTAAGCTATTGAATTCTCGGAAACTAATATAAAGGTACTTAATAAGTATATTTAATAGCAAATTGAGAATATTACTAGAGGACTAAGATTTATAAAGCTAGTAAAGGAGTTCTTATATTTAATTATTTTTACGAATGCTTTATTTACAAATAATAGAGATCTCTTTTCCTAAATTAGATATATTCTAGTTCTAGTAAACGGAACTGGATATACTAATATTATTTACTAGTTTTCTACTAAATACAAGAGAGTTACTAGAAGTATTCTAGCTTCGGAACTCTATAGTATAGCTTATGGCTTTAATATGGGTGCTTTAGTTAAATCTATAATTAATAGAGTACTGGAAATGGAACTACTACTAGTAGTTTATACGGATTCGAAGTTATTATATAAATGCCTTATTAAATTAGAAACTATTCGAGAAAAGCGTCTAATAATTAATATAATATACTTCTGCCAGGCATATAAATAACGAGAGATTATAGAAGTTAAATAGATTAAGGGAAAATCAAATCCTGCTAATTCTATAACGAAATCAAAGCTAATAAATGCCCTTAAGTACCTAATTAATACGAATACTATATAATTAGATATAGAGAAATAAGTTAAGTATAAATAGGGCGAGAAATAGATATATGGGATAGGAGGATATTATAGGAGGGGAAGTCACGTGCAAAAGGCTGCGGCCTTTGGCATATGACTAAAACCTCGGAAGTAATATGGATATATAGAGTATTTGGGAAATCTGGTACTAGGCCGGATTAGGGAATTTGTATATAATTAGAGGGAGATACTATTTTTCGCGTTTTTGGAGAGTTTCTAGTATTAGTATAGCTATTTCTTTGAGAGTTATATATATAGTTACGGGATACGGGATACGGGATATGGGTAATAGGATATAGGTAATAGGATATGGGATACGGGATATAGTTATGTGATCTCGTATCCTATTAGTAACTCGACTAGTAGACTAGACCCCTTTAGTTTTAGTAGATTTAAGGATTATATATTAATATTATAATACTATAATTCCTATTTCTGAAAAATAATAACTTTACTAACTAATATAACTAGTATTTCTATGCCTATATAACAGTGCCATATATTACTAGTAAACCAATAATTATAATTACTAAATTAATACTATTTTTCTAATTTTTAATTAGCTTCTTTCTTTTATTAATACTTATACTAAACCGAGTTTAGTTTCTTTCTAGTATATATATATAATTTATAGTAAAAGGAATTTAAAAATAAAGTAATTTATAATAGGTTTATAGAAAGAATTTAGTAATAAAAAGTATTAAAATATTAAAGTAAATATTTCGTTCTTAAAAATTCCGTCTATAATAAGAAATTTAGGAAATGAAATATTATAATTCCAAAAGAATCTAAAGCTTAAAGAGCTCGATTTAATAATAAAATTGAAATTATAATTAAAGAGCTTTAAGGGCATATATAAAATATATATTCCGGAAAAAGAATTCTATAAATTCGAGTATTATATAAATAAATTTTTTATTAAAAAAAAGGTAGTTTTAGAGCCAGAAAAAGTTAGTTTTAAAAAATAATAGAACTTGAATAAATAGATAATTAAATAGCTAATTATTTATTAATTAGTAAAAGCTAGATATTTTCTTTATAAATTATTAAATACTTTTATAAAATTAATAAATAATTTCTGTCTTTAATATAGAATAAACTAGATTTGTTTTAGGCTACTAAATACTTTTAGAACTAATCTAAAATCTTCTCTAATTTATATATATAAACTAATTAATATTAGTTTACTAGTAATATATAATACTATTATATAATATATATAAAATATAAATATATTAAAGTTAGTAAAGTAATTAATATTTAGAAATAAAAATTACAAATTATAATATTAATATATAATTCCTAAATCTACTAAATCTAATAAAAACTAGTTACTAGTCGAGTTATCTATAAAATATAAGATTATATAACTATATCTCGTATTTTATATTCTATTACTTATATCCCGTATTCCGAGTCTCGTGGCTATTCACGTGACTTCCAAAGAAACAGCTATACTAATAATATATTTTATAATATATTAGTTTATAAAAGGCTTAATATTTTAAATATCTCTAATATATATTATAGATATAATATTTAGGGCTTAAAAAATAAAATAAAAGATTTTTTATAAAGATAATTTAAAGCTAAAAAAAAGAAAACTAAAATATAAAAGGCTATAAAAATAAAATATACTTATAATATATTAAGCCTATAAAATATTTAGTATTCTAAATATTTTTATATATTTTTATACTAGTTATTAAATAATTATATTAAGTAATTAAAATATTAAAATCTGAATTATAATATATTATATTTTAAATATATTTCTTTACTAATATAGCTATATTATATATTTAATTATATAACTAAAAAGTAATAAAATATAATAAAATATAAGTAATATATTAGGAAAAAAACCTATTAATAACTTATTACTTATATTAATAATATTACTAGTATTAAATTTATATATCCAAAATTTTAGCCTCAAAATTTCATAATAATATACTAATTAATTACTAATAATAAATGAGTTCTATATTATTTCGAGTCTAGTATTATATCTAGTATATATTTAATATATATTTAGTATATATAAATAGAAATTTCAAAAAATTATATATTAATTTTTTTCTTTTCTTTTTTTTCTTTTTCTCTATTTTCTTATATTATTATATTTAAGTAAATATATAATTATAATACTAAAAATAAATTTTCGAAAATAATTAAATTATTATAATTCTCGAATTTTTAATATTATAATTTATTAAATAAAAGTATATATAAGATTTAAGAAATACCTAAAATAATTACTAATATTCTAATTTAGTTTTAGTTTTAAGGCTATTACTTAATATAATTAATAGTTAATTAGTAAATAAATCTAGCTAATAGTATAAATTATATTAAAATTTAATTATATAATATTAATTAATAACTAATAGCCTAATATATATATTACTAAAATATATATTTAAATAAAAAATTATTAATAGATTTTTTCTTTCTAATATAAAATATAAATAATACTAGTTAAATAATTATATTAATTAATTATATTAAAAGCTAAATTATAATAAATATATTTTCTTAGGCATTTTTAAGAATTATATTAATAAAATATAAATAAAATCTATAAAGTATATATAAGAATATAAAATTAATCTAAATCTAAAATAATAAACTGGTTTTTATTATATAATACTAATTATATAATATTATTACACGTGATTTAATATATAGCTAGTACTTTCTTAGTCTAATAAATAGCCTTTAGCTTAATTTATACTCTTTATTACTATTATAATATTATCTTATTATAATAGCTTTCTTTTTTTAAAATCTCTTTTTCTTTTTCTTTTTCTTTTTCTTTTTCTTTTTCTTTTTCTTTTTCTTTTTCTTTTTCTTTTTCTTTTTTCTTTTTCTTTTTCTTTTTCTTTTTCTTTTTCTTTTTCTTTTTCTTTTTCTTTTTCTTTTTCTTTTTCTTTTTATTCTTTATTTTATTCTTATTTCTTCTTTCTTAATTATTACAAGAGTTTATTTATAGCTCTTTTATTTATAATAATATAATTTATAAAATAATAAGAAATTACTAGAAATTAAGGAGGTTCTAGCGCTTTTGGCTTTGCTTACTAATTAATACTAGGTCTAGTTTAGTAAAGAATGCCTTTTGTAATATTAAATACGGCTAGCCCAGACCTTATTTTAGCCTTATCTCGGCTTCCAAAGCTCCAGAGTCATGTGTGCAGTCACGTGATAATCTAATTAAATATAATTAATTATCTTTAATTATAATTAAGTATGATTTAATTAGCTTGATTTTGACTTGATTTTATTTGAGTAGGGGGTCTAATCAAATCTAATCTAATCATTTGACACACTGCGAGACAGCCGATGAACTACTCAATACCCTGGAAGCGCTCAAAATGCAAGGGAGGAAGATTCCTTGGGAGAAAGAGCAAGCGACAAGCGATAAAGATTATCAGAAGTGAAGCAACCGTATTAGCCATTTCCGGGAGACTCGACTGTTTTCGAGTGTTCTTTCAAACGACTATCCCCGTAAAGCTGAAGTACGTGGATGAGTTCGCATTAAGAGAATATGCTTACAGCGTTCTCACAGGAACAAGATCGACTTTCAGGTTGTGTCCAATCTGAAAATTTCAAAGCCCTTGAAGCAAGTACACATAATCTTATCCTTGCTGTCCTTGAGGCGCATACCGCAGAATTAAAGGATCTTCACTATGCGGAAGCATTTATTGCTGTCGTCGACCTTAAGGAGGTACTTGTGCCTGTGGGATCATAAAATGATAGTATAATACCATTTGTGCCAACACATTCGATTTTCAGATAGGAATATATCCCCAGTAATATCTCAGAATTATTTTTGCCGAATATAATGGCTTAACCAGCGAGAAACAAATTGCACCAAACATGCCTATAGCAGCAATAACCTGGAGAAGGATCTTGTCAGTCTATTCTGGTCCTCTACTATTACATAGTCAGTCAATATTCGGCTTGACAGTTCCGCCTAGTTAGGGAAAATAGACGTCTCTCAAGCGGATTTAGCCTTCTCAACATCCTTCATCCAATACGTTAGTCGCTCAGCTTTTAGTTGGGACCGTTTTATCCAGACTCCCCAACCAACTAACATGACTACGGTTACAGGGATCGAGATTGTCCACAACCACCAGATCTTTTTATTGACAACAAATGATGTATTAACAGCGCCAGTGCTTGATGTGGGATCCGGTGATGTGGTTGTGGTGAAGAACTGGGTACCAAAAATGGAGCTAACTGTGGAGATGGGAAGGAACACCATCGCCAATATCGAGAGTGTTTTCATGACATAGCTATCTTGCCTCATGACCCGGCTATCATGCATAGTTCCAATGTTGAAGGCCTAAAAATTTCAGAATTTGGCAAAAGGAAAAATAATTGGAATAACCAACCATGTTGATAATATTCTTTAGTCTCTGGTCCACGCTTAGCATTCGCAATCTAGTCGAGTGGAACATCTCTCTGCGGTAGTGCAGGGAACGGTGTGTGGCTTCCCAGATGGCAGGATCGTCCCTTTGCAGCTTCTCCATTTCGCTATGGTAACGCAAAGCACACTCAAGGGATCTTAGACTGGCGTCTAACCCCTCCACCATGTGTATAGCATCTTTGGCAAGGTTGTGGATGCTATTGTAATCGATTGCGAGTAGCTCGGCGCTGTCGATCTCTAGTTGGGCCGAACGTTCGAATATGCTCTGTCCATTGTTAGGATTAGACCCGAACTCTTTGCAACGGAATGAGAATAAGGACAATGCACTCTTTCAGCTTCGCGAGATAAATCCACCAATTTCCATGCATTTTCATCAACGAGCTCATGCCATGTCTCGAACGATGCATTGATCAGGAAATATGGATCCCTGAGGGCGTCTTCCCACCTGCTAGACTTAAAAAGTCGATTGATAGCTACTAAGATTCCTTCGACGGGTTGGAAACAAATAAGTGTAACTTGCCGGGATGGCGCCGACGTGGACTTGTTATTCGAGGACGGAGTTGGCACCCACTTCAACACGACGGCCGATCTTCTCCATCGGGGTTTTCCGTGGAATGGCAGTGACGGCAGTAGAGCGAGGAAACGGATCCATACAACTATGATTTCTTTTGTTTAACAAGTTCTTTGGAGATCGACTTTGAGAAGTTGCTTCGGGCACATACTTTCAGATTCGTCTCCCAACTTGCGGATGCCAAATGAGTGGGTGACTGCATGAGATCTCTCGCCGACGAAGTCGCTCGGTATGCCGAACAAGTCAACTAATTTTAGAAGGCCAGGCAAAGAGGCAGGCTCATCAGTTGGGGCCGTGCTGAAACAGTTATGGAAAGTTTAAATTGCTGACGAGACGGAACAAAGCCAATTGAGTATCAAGGTTGACCCTGGAAATGAAATGAAGCGCAACTCAGCGGGAATCTGCTTACAGAATACCTAAATCCCACCCACCACAATTTCTAAGCTCATCCACAGATAGTATATCTTTGCGAGTTGGATGTTTTCCTGTAATTTCACATTAGACAGGTGATATTGAAAAAATTTCCGCCCGAAATACAGGGACCCTCTCTCACCTCGATGCCACTGAAACAGGCAGAACGGTGAATGAGCTTCAACATTGCTGCTTGTATACCCCTGTTCAAAGCGAGATATAGACTGAGGGTCCTTGGTGAGACTAGGCATCATCAAAATCCTCTTGAAAATATATCTCGTCCCTCTTGCATCCTTAGAGAGATCTAAGGAGTATAATACCATAAAAACAAGAGTTTTTCATGTTTCAATGAAGTGTCACCTTTCTGGGGATGACGTGTCCGTCAGCTGTGGCTTGGCGGCTATGCAGGAGAACCTGGAAGAAGAACCCAATCTGTAAATGTCGCGTCATGCTCTGATAACAATCGGGCGAAGACGAAACTCTCTGCATCCTATTTCATACTAGTCGGGCGAAGATTGTTAATCATCCCGCCCAACTTCGATAAAGCGGGAATGCAGTAAAAAGGGGTGGGAAAACAAGGGTTTTGTGCGGCTGAGCAGGAGCGAGCGGCGATCTTTTTCCAAAGGAGCCTCATGAAGCTATAAATTAAATCACAGTCCTTCACTCAAGATCATTTCATCACCAAATTGACATCCCAACTTGTACATCACATCTTGTCAAAGAACAGACTCTTAGCCATACTTGAAACGAAACACACATGGTAGGATCACCTGATGAGATGTACACCCTTAGTAAGCACACTAATTACTGTGTAGGCTTCCAGTGGCTCAGATCGACACAGTCAAGACGTCCCCGCAATTCAAGATAAGATATCTAGTAAGCTAGTATGCTACCCGACTGTATTTTGATTTGTATAGGGTTTTCATTGACATTCCGCTTAGGCTGAGCTTGACTGGACAGTGGGCGGCGATTCCAGTACCTCTACTTCTACGAAGCCAACAAACCCTTCAAAGGAAGGGAAAAGTGGTACGGCCACCAGTGGGTTCTCTGAGTGCATTCCTTGATTAATAGCAATAGGATCCACGCCTGCTGCTCAATCTACCTCGACAGTCACTTCAAGCATATCCAAATTGGAAACTGGACAACGCTCTTAAACTGCAGTATGTCATTTATTCCTTTGTAAAGTGTTCATTCCTTTTGCACTCTGCCTTCTAACCTTTACGGGACCCAACAGATTCCGTCGGAGCAAGACATACTCTACCAACTTCCAAGATGCCCATGCCTGCCCCCAGTAATAGCAACGAGGAGCCTGTGCCCGACTACATCGCTAATTTCAATGATATCCATGGATGGTACCATGCCTGGACTAGGACTGAACATTCATGGAGAGGCTGGGGCGATGAGTCTAGGCCTGTTAGACTTTACTATCCAGCTAGCCTGCAGTACAATGCCCAAGACGGCTACAATGCCATCGATGGTATGGGAAGGCAAATCCCCGGAGATCAACCATATGCTTGTACGATCAATCCATCATCTGGAAAATTCGAACGTCTTTGTGTTCAAACGAGAGATTCTTTCTGCACACTAGAAAACAGCACTTGGGATCGGACGATCATCAGAAACACAGCACCTAGGCTCTTTCGTCTGGCCAACTTCCCTCTCCAAGCCGTTCCACCTGCAAAGAGGCACCAGATAAAAGAATGGACTCGCGAGGACTGGATATCCGTTGTTATACGCTGGATTCCTGCATCGCTGGGGATCGTCATTCTCGTGAGTTTTGGCCATCGACAATATATCTGCAAACTCTTCAGACTAACAAGCGTGCCTTTGATAACAGTTGGTTCTGCCAGTTCATGGGCAGCCAAGTGGAAAGGACTCGCGAGCATATCTGCCCTTTTTGTACAATGGTTACCGATACCCACGTCTGGCTCGAAATTTCTGGGAAAACAGGAGAGAAATTCAGGAAGGACGTGTAGACGATCCCTCGTGGGCCTCAGGTAATATCGGAGTATACCGCGCATTCAGACCTAGGTTCCTCTGTTATTTGACCGAAGGAAAACGAGACAAAAACGGAAATAGGGTCGAGCCTCCTCGCTTTGAGGTAAGACCGGTACGAATAGTGAGTTATGAATCTCGGCTTTTAGATCGAAAGATATTAACAATTAGTAGAACAATCACACGCCTTATGTATTTATATCATACACAAAGATCCAGTTCGACAGTGAGAACAAAAAAGAACAGGATGGTAATTATCAGCTTCTTTACGCTATGGCTCTTCTGGAAACCTTCATCTATGCGAATTCTGTTCAGGACAATGCACGAAAGCCAAACGCATTCTGGCTGGATAGTCTATGCCAGCCCTATAGTAAATACATCGAAGAGGAAGACAGAGAGGAAGAGGTCACAGACGAAGACGAGAAAAAGCTCCTGACAGATCAAGATGTGAGATGTTATTACCGTATTCTGAGCCATTGTCTGACTAGTGAATTAATTAGGTTTATACCATGAACGATATCATCAGGGGAGCAGAGCATTCGATCGTTATTGCCCGGAATGCAACACCTTTACCAGAAGATGAGCCCAGTATGCAGGTCAAAGCACTTCAAGGCTGGGGCCAAAGAGCGTGGACACTAAACGAGGTCATCCTGAGCAAAGGCGATTCTGTCACAATATCAACCAAATTCAACCAGCGGTCGCACATTTCTAAAGTTCGCCTTGCCGAAACCGCATGGGCGGATGCTGGTTACTCACGACAACTTGTGGAGCACTTCACTAACCTTCCACTTAGTCGTCTAGAGCTGGTAAGCGTGGCGATGAAGTGCTTAGACAACCGAGAACTGAAAAGCAAACATGAAGGAGATAAAAGTTATGTTCTCATGGGATTGCTAAGGGTCCGGCCAATGATTGACACAAGTGATTCTTCATTTCAAGCGTTTGCTAGGTGAGTCGGCCACTCAGCCTTAACAAATCAGCATCCTTATGAGTTTGTCTAATGTATTGCTCCTTTACAGACTATCTCTGCCGCAAGACAACGACCGGCTCATGGAACGGCTGATATGTCTATTGCCTGAGCACCCAGATGAGCCGTGGAATAGGATGTCGGACCAATACAAGTCTATCCTTTGGGACATATTTCCAGATGTACAAGTGTGTGGCATTGGAGAGAACAACACAGTTTTTGTAGACGGATTCAAAGGTGCTATGGTCCAGTGGTCTTCATTCAGCACTGTTCAGACAATGAAGAGGCTGAGCTGGAAACGGCAGACCCTAATCCTCATCACCATGTTTTCACCGCTACTTCTCATCTCTGGGGCCATCGTGTTTGCTGCTTCTCACGCAGCAGCTATTTTCCTAATAGTTGTGTCATCTATTATCTTATTGGCAGCGCCTGCTTATGTCCCTCTTTTGTATAAAGGCAAACTGTATGCGGTTGAGCCTTGCTTGTTTGGCATTGAGGGGTACCTTCCTCTCCCCGAAATCGAAGAAAAGATATTCGGAGCTAAGATGGGGCGCCTCAAGTGGAGTCCATATGGATCTCCTCTGTCACGCCATCAGTATCGAAAACGATATCGAGAACACTTCCAAGACGTCGAGGCAGGAGCAGGACAACCATTATTGGATAGGGCTGATGATCCCGTCTACGGCTATCCCGTCGAAGCTGTGGACCCGTGCTCCCCATGCGATAACTGTATCAACTCGCCGCCAACTCCCCGGTGCAAGCATTTCAGTTACAGTTCAGCAGAGGAAAAGAGCAGAAGTCCATATGGTAGTTTGAAGGTTCGGATTTTCAACCTCGAAAATCTGCATAGTTTTGTTTCTTGCTAATCAAAATCCAGCTATTTACACTTATTGACACATTCTCAATGACAGTAACACTTTTTGAGGCTCGTCACCCCCCCGTGGCTTTGATCATCGGCGGATCCGAAGGCGGGATGAAGCGGGCTTTAGCCTGCTCATACGACATCACGACCGGAACCCTCTATCGTGAGACTGTTCTCCGGGTTCCTTCGCAGATTGTGGATAAGATGCATTCTTTACAGAGAGTCAGATTGGGACTAAAGAATCCTTTCGGAACAAGCAATGTGAATAGTGTTCATCATCCACAGCCAACGCCACCGATAACTGTTGTACGCCTACCACAGCCGACAACTCAGCCTCGAAATGAGGAATCCAACTATTCTCCACCTAGAGAGGAAGGGATAGTGCTAGGGCCGATTCGTGATGGCCCTGCAGGAAACAGGGTTGTATAACCTCAGAGTGTTTCAAGGATCACAGAGTCCAGACATGTATTATGTATATCAAGAGCTTCTCTCCTTAATTTGCTCTTCTCCCTTTAGCTTGCTCATTTTGCAATTTGGTAGCCGAATAAATTCTTTGTCTAACTTGAGTTATCATACTATCCTAGCAACTAGGCACTGCAGCCATCTTGTCACTAATCATTGCGTAGTCATTGTGTAGCTAAAAGGGTTATCATGGAGGCAACCACTCCTTAAACACGTCGAAGAAATATAAAGCAACATCACTATTCCATCAAAATCTCCGGCATATCAACAGCTCAAAGATTACTGGCAGCCTTTTGTCTTTGATATTTCCAATGGCTGGAAATTCCCTGATTGAAGCGACTCTGAAACCTTTGGAGTTATGTTAGAGGAGGTTCAGGTTATGAAATGTAGTAGGGGGAGGATTTATAGAAGACAGTAGCAAACTCCTTTTGCTATGGGCAATGTCCTATAGGATAACATAGATATATTTTTATAAGGATCTGGTTCAGGATCCTTAGGAGCTTCTTTGGGCTCCAGGAAAAATCGTCAATACTTGGCAAAAATGCTACAAGAAAGCGATAAGCCTATATCTAGGCTCATTAGTTAAGTAGTTACTGCTCAGGCTGCTCTCAGGGAATGCTCAGGCAGCTCAGGTGAGCTGGCTGAGCCGAGGGTGATTGGTATCTGAATAGAAGTGGCAAGGCTTACTAACTGATCTTGGAACGAACATGTGAGATTAAAGTTGAACTACTAAACGAGTCACAACCATGCTGTTCTCCGTCTTTCTTCTTTACGAAGACGCGTATATGAAACAATGAATACCAAAGCATACCTGTTTCTGACCCAAGTTAATTGCGTAGATTATTGTCCTCAATCATCAGCTTCTCAGGTACTCAAGCCTCAGCTGCCCGAGCCTATATTCTATCCAACCATCGCGAGTCGAGCTATATTTCAATGCCATGGCGCACGTGTACCCTTATAAGAAAATCCATGCCCTCCTACTGTTATGGGAAGAAGACGATCTTGGCATGGATGAATCAGTTCTTGAACTAGAACAACTTTTCATCGGGAATTGTAATTTCACTACAATGAAATTATTCCAAATTCCTTCTCAGAAGCCATTTACGTCGCTTTCTTTTGAAATACAGTAATGGATCGGCAAGTACTCAACGGCAGACAATCTTTTGATCGTTTTCCACAATAGATATAGGAGTCTTGATAGTATCCAGCACTTGAAATGGGATGCATACAGGAGGTTGGTTGAAGGGCTGTGTTCTCAATTTATATGCTGCTAAGGTATGGTAGGCGGCGGCATGGATTAAAATCGCCTTCCGTCAACTGGACCGCTCTTCAGACCACTCTTGAACGAACTGAAGCGGACGTCCTCATCGCGCTCGACTACTGCTACGGGGATGGGTCGCCTAATGCGATAGAAGGCGGATTTCAAGAAGGCCGCCGCACCGAAATACTAGCAATATGCTGTTATAACCTCACGACCCGTGGCGAATTCACAAGGGCTTTTATCGAACAGTTTCGCTGGAGAATGCTCGCGCGCAGAACATTTTCGGTTGCTCAATTTCATCAGAGACTTCTTTTGAATATGCAGTGCGAGGACAGACAGAATTCCAGAGCCAGTACGAATATTGCGGCATAAAGTCATGCGACTACGTGATGTCTCAGCCACTAATCACACTCCGTAACCGGTAAAACTAGCCTGTAAAGCCGCCACCACTACAGGTTCAGATAATAGAGGCAGACGCAAGAAGTCCCTATAACTATAAAACCTCCAAGTTCCGGTGTCTGAGCACTACAGTCACTGGTCCAACAGCGTGGCGCTATAGCTACAGGCACTACAGGGCACATAGGCTGAAGTCGCATAACTTTATGCCGCGATATTCGTACTGAGGAGCCCGGATCTCCAGGCACGAGCTTATCGGAGCCGAACTGGAGTGCAGAAACGCCTTGTGCATATCTCACTGAGCTAATGCTGTTACCAAGCGAGCATCCCTCTGAAGAAGTTAGCCCCAGGAACAGAAGTCAACCGCGAGATACTAGAAGCAGTAGAGGCGAGTGGTGAGCGGAACGACACCATAGCCGTGGAAGAAGAATCTACGATCGGTGAGCTCGACTAGAATAGCCACCTCGACCAGAACAAGGATGAGGATATAGCCATTCGTTGGGAAACTACCTATGCTGATGATCTAATGGGTGCTGGAGCTTTGCGGTAAAAGAGAGAACTGAGTACATGCGAGGATCGGAGTTTGAACTCAGGCCCGACGCGGCCTGTCACAGGATATAGGGAGTAGATCATAGGAGATGAAGTAGAAGGGCAAGTTGAGAACAATTCACCATCCAAACATCCGTCTAGCAGATCGGCTTGAGTTACTACCAGATGGGCTCTGGGACCCAATTTGTAGGCTCAGCGTGAAGAGGACATAGTGCCATGAGAAGTTAGAACTGATATTAATGAACATCTCCCTTGATGCAACCCATCTATAACCAGACAGAGGTGCCACGCACATAGGTGAGATTATGAGATCTCTATAATCTTGGATCTCACCCTCAGGTCCCCTGTCATTTATCTTGCAGAGGTGAATTCAGTTTGGTCTGAAGACCCATGGCTCCACAGTCGTGCTTTCTTAGGAAACACCTTCACGCTATCGCTCCCAACCTCAAACGAACGAACAACTTTCTTTGAGCTAGATCCGTTCCTGATCCCTCGACTCTATACCCGTGGAGCCTGGAACAAAGTGGCAGGTAGGAATCCATCGTCAACCTCGGCTTGCAGCTAACAGCTGGTTTCCCAGGTGTTGAACTCCCCTACAGTTCACTTTTCGAAATCCTAACCTCCGCGCAACGACGGGAGACTGCCTTCCGACTATTTCGGAACTGAAATCGCGGCTCGTCTGAAACAATATGTCGACAAGATACAGCAGATGGGGAGTCGCAGGAGAGCAGCCAAAGCCCGCTGTCAAAAGCGATGGATGGGCAGCCAAGAACAACGGTTGTGGGCCGCCCAAAGAGCAGCCAATATCCACGGTCAAGAATAACACGGGATGGGGAGACAGCGATGAATGGCCAAATAATGGCGGATGGGAAATCAGGGTATGGGGCGGCGGCCAGGGAACATTGGAAGAGAAGCCCGAGTCCAAGACCGACAATAGCGGATGAGGACCTCCTCGAGAACCGCCAGCCTTCAAATTCCGATAGCAGTGGCAGGGGAGTTAACCTCGCACCCAACACAAATGATACCGGCAAGAAGGAAGTCGCCTGCACGAGATGCAAGAACTCTTTCCCCAGCAACAACAAACTTCACCAGCACATTCGTGAAGGAAGTTGCAAGAGTGTGCAGCCCAAAGGCGGGTCTGATGCCGAGGATTTCAGACAGCAGCCAAACTCGACGTGGATTGCAAATGGAAGGGGGGCATCAAAGACTGTCAAAGAAAAGGCTGCAAATGAAGGAGAAGCGGAGAACACAAGTAGCAATGCCAAGGAAGAACGCTGGGGCGATTCGAACTCCAAATGCTCGGATTTCACCTCCCCATTCGGGTACATCCCACCACCGCTGAACTTCCGAAATAAGACCCGGGATGTTAGTTCCAAATTCGACCAACTTGTACAAAATGGCGCATTGAACTCAAAAGAAATCCTGCTTCTCGAAAAAAGTCGTGGCTTGGAGTTCCTTGTACACTTGACACACTTGGAATCTATGGCGTCAACGAAAACATGGAAGACGATAGCGAATCAGGTAGACGGCATCCCGAAAACCGAAATTGATCAAGACTATCCATATTGCACTGTTCATGCTCTCTTAATCCGATGGGAAGATGGGGATCTTGATTTCGATTGGGCGATAAATGGACTACGGGAAGTGTTCAAAGATCAGTTCGGATTCCATTTGGTTTCGTCCTTCAAAATACCCTCGAATCGACCCTACGAGGCTTTAGAGTCCAAGTTACAATACTTCAAAGAGGCGCATTCATCTAAAAGCCGGCTACTCATTGTCTATTACATTGGCCACGGATATCTTGATCTGCAAAACAGAATGCATTGGTGCGCGACAAGGTGGGTTCAAAGACTGTGGTGTGTGGCATTAAGACTAAAACCTTCCGATAGTTCTCGTGATTCCCCGACCCTTGATTGGTATGCCCTGCAGGTCGGACTTGAGCGCACGGAATCCGATGTTCTGATCCTCTTGCACGCATGCTGTTCTGCTGGGGCATCAAATCTTTCCCATGAACCAAAACTGAATAGGGGAGGCCGAACCGAGATCATTGCCGCATGTAGTTTCAAATCAACAACCAGTGATGCATCCTTCACAAAAACGCTCATCGGGGAACTTAAGCGTATGGCTCAGAATGACTCTAATTTCGGCGAATGTATTTCGGCTGTTCCAGTGTGAGAAATGAATAGATTAGATTAGATTAGATTAATGGCTATTAATCTAATCTATTCATGAAATTTTCTCATTAAACATATTCTATTCACGAATTAATTAAGCTAATCATGAATATTCATGAATTAATCAATTAATCAGATTAATTTTTTCGCACACTGGGCTGTTCAATTGCATCAGCGAATGCTATCGACCATGCTGCACCAGACCTTACCGGATGGCGATGATCCTGGAATCATGCTAATTTCCAACGATAGTTTCTCAACTCCAGTCTACATCTCGCTCAGCAACGACTTCCGCCAAGCAAGCATCCCAATCAAACGATTCGGTCCGTTGAAGCCACTCCGACGCATTCGAAGCAGGGACTCCTTCAGGACGTTTTTAAGAGGAGCCATGGCTGAGGAGGAGCATGATGAAGATGTGCCTGGATCAGAAGACATTGATCCTTAAAAACCTAAACCAGCTACTTGGGGAGATTCTCTGGGTCCTGTTGCCGACTTGAAGATATTGTACGAATTAAATCTAAGCCCAGGACCCCAGGAGACACGCCGAAAAAGAATCCGTTGAATCCGTTTAGTTGAAAGCGGTGAGCTCACCCGCCTAAGCATAAGAGACTGGGAGGTGAGCCAGGCATGGAATCTGTACGACGTTGGCTTGATGCTGAAGGAAATTGAGAAGAGGATTGCGGAGAAACGTGCAGCCATCATTTCTGTCTCCTCGCACTTGGCATAGGAGGTGGTTTTTGGCTTTGGTGACAAGATCAGGATGTTTGAGAACCGACGGGCTGCGGATTCTGTCAATTGAGGCTGGCAATTTTAAAGGTGTAGCAACTGGATCTGGCTTCGGATATCGAGGCTGGGTAGACTGATAAGAAAGTCAGTTTTCGAACAATTCGTGGCTACGTACAGTCTTCCAAACAAAAGAAGATCAACATACCCAACTCGACATTTCACACAAGCGTGAACGTCTGCTTCTCGTACTTCTCCCCAATCATCCAATCCACCACCGCTTCTCCCTTCATAATCCCATGCAAATAGACTCTCCCACTAATTGATAGTTATCTCTCATTCTCCGCAGGATGAACGGAACTCGAGCACCAAACAGAACACAGCATAAGTCTCCCTCTCGCAGAAGAGCAGGTCCGAGACCAAGCGTGCCTTGCTTGGTACAAAAGACTTTCCTGCCAGTGCAGAACCTAGATGCAACCCAGTACATGTCATCTACGCTCCTGCCATTTGCAGTGCGATGGAGTGCTTCCTTGCTTTCTGGACACAATTCATAACTCGTCTCTCTCCCTTTCTTTTCAGCCTCATCAGCTAGATACAGCCGAAAAGCGGCGAACTCGGCGGCAAACTGCGCTGGAGCTTGATTTCTGAACCCGGCGGTAAGTGTCTGGCCTACGGCGGCTAGTTTGTCCTCAGGAGAAGCATTGCTATCCGTCCTGAAACGCAAGACATCTGACAACAACTCATCCACCTCTTTTAGAACAACGCTTTTACCATGGCTCAATTCTTCTGTCTCGATGTACTCTTCGGCCACATCAAGGAAAAAGCCGTGGGCATCCAGTGATCGACCTGGCTCGACTAGATTCCAGAACGCTGCCATGCCGGCAGATGCATCATACTCCACGTCGAAGTAATGATCTTAGTATATACCGAGAGAAAGAGCGCAGACACCGCGGCTCCAAGAGGGTATCCAGGAGCCGGATTCTCCATCCAGACTCCCATCGCCATGCTGAACAGCAGATAAGATTCGGAGACTTTTGCTCTGCGACAAGATCTTCATCGTCACCTCGAAATACAACTCTTCTGGAGACTTGTTGTAATCGGGCTCAATGATTGGAACCCCATTGATCGAGGCACTCGGATGTCCCAGCAACGCATAGACATAATCCCGTGGATCGCTGGCCTTCTTATTCCGGGTGACCTCCAGCATTTCCAGGAAATCATAGTCGTCGTCCACCTCTCCATTCAACTCTTTCGATCTTGCAGGAAACGTCGTATAAACATTGGATTTCCCTGCAATGAACAAAGCCTCAACTGATCCATCAGCATTGTCCTCCTTTCAAGCCTAAGAATGAAGCGGATCAAATCCACGAAATCAATCGACGCATCACCAATCATCGCCAGTATCGATTTCGCCATCCCAATTTCCTAGACAACCCAAAGACGCGTGGACCAAGGGGAATCGAAAAGCTGGCAAAGCGCACTCGCTACCACGCTCGTGTCGGGATCCAGATCTTCCATTCTTATTCTAGGAACCTCCAACTTCGCAACATGCTCATTCAGAATGCGACTTGCATTTCCAATCGGCACCGTATCCTCATTTCCCAAATCGGACCCATCAGAACCAGAATCAAACAAATCCTCAAAGTTCTTGAATGCTGAGCTCGGCAGGTCAATCCACACCAGCACCCTCACGGCATTCGCATATACAGAAAGCATCTGCCGGACCTGAAACCCATGCTCCTCATTGTCGTTCTGATTGATGCACACGGCATCTGCCCAGAGAAATTTGACCTCCACAGGAATTCGGATCCTCCACAAGGTGTCGCGGAGGTTGGCGGTCACGTGCAGCTTCCGGTTCTCGCAATTGATAACCCGCGTGTCCGTCTCTCGGCCCCAGGCGTAGGAGATCGCCTCGTATGGTAGAGCCCCAGCAGACTCTAGGACGGAGAGGCGGCATGCGATAATATCTGTTCCTTCGCAGGGTTGGAGCTCGAGGATCCTGATTGAGGTTGTGGTTGCAGCGCGACATGCTCGTAGGGTGGCGAAGAATACGAAAAGCGGGGAATTGAGATGCCATCCCGTTTTCTCTTTACGAGACGGCCCGTGTAACACAAGGAGACCTATTTGGCCGCGTCGAGGCTGATTGCTTGCATTTGGTTGCGTGAAGAGACAAGAAAACGACGTTTTACCATTGTGAGATGTTGACTGGTGAGATTCATCACGTGATCTTATATATTTTCCTCCAAGTAATTTCCTTTTGGTGGAATAAATAGCAAAGGATCTGGATTCAAATCTAATATCTTATTCCTCGCAGGAAGCTTGACTTTCTCCAGCCTTTTGTGTTGCCTTTAAAGTGTCGCATATGATATAGGATAAGGGGAGGGGAAGGACAAGCGAATTTGCTCCACTTCGAGCTTGCCGCCTCCTTTCTTGTCTCGGATAGATAGCGCAAACTAATCAACCAACTTTAGAATACCAGGGGCCGCATTAGCAAGTGCAAATGCAAATAGTAAAAGCCAGATTTTCTCTCTTTAAGAGAGTATATTACAATCTCCCCCCCTCCCCTTTTAAGCCTCCGGCGGCCGGTCAAATATTTCTCCGGGTCATGTGACAGTGATATTTTCTGTCACGTGAGTTTTTTGCCACACCAGCCCACCGCGTGTAACTAAAACCTCGCTTTGACAAGTCAAAATCTTACTTTTAATCAATCTCGGAGTGGATCTTCAAAGGAGAAACCTGATCAGCAGGTTCTAATTTGATCCTGATCTCCAGAACTCATCGGCGGATAGTCGCGCCAATTGTGCCACATCAATTCCGTACAAGCGTACGGCCAAATAGTCAAACAGCAGATCGTCTGACCACGGGTCAAGACTTGGCGTCCTTAAGTTTGTTAAACCTTAAGCCATGCCACACTTATCGCGTCCGTCTTAATCGTTCGGCGGTTCCCACCTACAATTCGCCTAGCACGCCTTGTAGGTGAGGGATAGCGATACACACAGAATAGCGATACGCAAATTTTTTACCCCACTTCCATACATCACTCCACCAAAATTACCAAAATGCCACCCGAACTATATGAAATCGAAGAGCACATAGCTAAAGCCTCTTATGCAATAGATAATAATCCTTACCTGAGAGATATAAAGGCTGCAAAGCAATTTAGGGCCCTATACGAACGTCTAATGGCTCGTTAATATGGGCGTCCACCCAGCCACTTGCGAGGGGGGCAGAACAAAAAGCTCTCCGTACTACAAGACAACACTCTAAAGAAGTATATTCTTATACTCCAATATTCCGGCCGTAGGGCCAATATATACGAGATTCGTATAGCTATAGGAAGGCTCCTTTTTTGAAGCTCTAGGAATCTCAATTCGTTAGTATTAATTCGATAGACCAAAGTATAGATAGTCCGGCAAGCCGAATTCCTCAAATTAATATAAGAGAAGCCTTTATTCGCAAAGCGATTAGCTATATATATTATAGAGAATATTAAGGGGCATTTTCAGGAATTTAATTAATATAAGAGAAAATATAATATAGAGAATTATAATATAAAGAATTATAATATAGAGAATTATAATATAGAGAATTATAATATAGAGAATTATAATATAGAGAATTATAATATAGAGAATTATAATATAGAGAATAATATAGAGAATTATAATATAGAGAATTATAATATAGAGAATTATAATATAGAGAATTATAATATAGAGAATTATAATATAGAGGAATTATAATATAGAGAATTATAATATAGAGAATTATAATATAGAGAATTATTAATATAGAGAATTATAATATAGAGAATTATAATATAGAGAATTATAATATAGAGAATTATAATATAGAGAATTATAATATAGAGAATTATAATATAGAGAATTATAATATAGAGAATTATAATATAGAGAATTATAATATAGAGAATTATAATATAGAGAATTATAATATATCTAACTTTAATAAGAGTGGATTCCAAATTAGAGTAATTACTAGTAATTAAGTCTATATTTCCTATAATTACTAAGCTATATATAATATAGATCTAGAGAATTAAGAGCTTATAATAGTAGTAGCTATAATTAATTATAGAGGAACCAAGATACTAGTAATAATTATTTTTAAGGAAATATATTACTTATAGGAATATTTCAAAAACTAACTTAACGAGAATATACTTTTTATATAATCTCCTATAGGATTTACTAATTATTGGCTTGGAATATACTATATTAAGTATTTTAATAGATTCTGTTTCTTTTCTAAATCCGGTAGATATTATATCTTGATTTTCGATAGCTATAGCTCTTATATTAGTTGCGAATTCCTAGACTATTATTAGAAATATTATATATAACTATTCAAGCTTCTTATATATACCACTTACCTTTTCTAACCTCTTAATATAGCCGTTTTCCAAGCTTTAAAATATTGGTTCCAAGTCGAATTATATTAAAAGATCTTTATAAGTATAGGAATAATAGACAAAAAGGCGTTTTTTGCAATATTCCAGAGATTTTAGGATAAGGTATTTAATAGCCATATAATTATACGAAATTTCTTTAAGAAAATAGGGCTAATTCCTCTCGAACCAGAAGTAGTACTCTTAAAAATAAAGGAATATAAGTAACTTTAGAAGTAAATAAGATAATAAGCTCGTATACTATCTTCTCTAATCTTTCTAATTCAATAATCTTTACTAATTCTTCCCTCCACTCCTCTCGTATTTATTACCCCGCCACCCCGCATTCCTTCTCCTGCCGAGAATTAGGCTAATTGGGCTACGCTATTAATAATTCGTATATGAAAGAAGAATATTATATATATAAAAAAGCAAATAGAGGTAGTAATAAATGGTATACTAATTATACTATTTATAAAGCATATATAAGAAAAGGTTAAGAGTATAGTAGAGTAATTTATACTATCCGGTACTTTAGTAAAGCAAAGAGTCCATGATTTGAGCCTTATAGAGCAAGAAAGGGAGAAGAGGAATAATAGGGATAATGGAAGGATTATTCAAAAGTATAAAGAAATTTATATATATTAAGGATAAGCAGATATTACGGCAGATAACAAGGATAAGGCCAAAGTAGTTAATATACGAAACGCCCGATTAGCCAAACTATAGAGGAAAAAGTATTGACAGATAATGGTATTATTTCCAGAGAACTATTAGAAGATAAAGGCTCAAATATGCTATACTTTCCATAATTTATGGGAGTGATATGTGGGGTTTAAGGCAAATAATAGTAGATTTTGGTAAAAAATTTGCATATCGCTATTCTGTGCGTATCGCTATCCCTCACCTACAAGGCGTACTAGGCGAATTGTAGGTGGGAACCGCCGAACGATTAGCTCCACTAGCAATTAACCCCGCAGTTCCAGAATTGGGGGGGCCCCGGCCAAATGGCCATTTTCAGTGCTTCTTGTGGCACCCTAGGGAGAGACTATGTATGTGTATCGTTTCCTCAAGGCATCCCGTGCCTACACTCTTGAACAGGAAAGCATCATTGGACACTCTGTATCCTCTTTATCCTTCTTTGTCTTTTCTAAACGCGATTCACTACTCACCTATTTTTTCGGGGAAAGGGGCAGATTGCTGACACAAGTATTCCGAGTCAGTTTCGCATCTTAAATTCATAAACGAAAACGCGCAAAAACAACTAATCGCCTAATCCCTATTTCCTGACTCTCGGCCTTTCCAAATTTCAGCTAGGGCCCCTTAACCTTAACTAGATCATTCACATGCTGGGGTGTATTGAATTAATAGTCAGCCTCAATTCATTGGACGACACCTGAAAGGCCACATGCTCCAATCGGCTAATGGCAAACAAAGTTATGGACACGCGTCCGACTTCTCGAGCCAGCGTCCGAAATCAAAGTTGAGCCACGGTTTATATACCCCAGATATACCTCGCTCAAACTCATTCCCACAATCACAAAAATCCTCCCTCACCACACCACACACTGCCGCCATGAGCCCTTCAGCAGTTATCTCAGACGGACATACTGCCTCCGGCACGACGGGACTTAATAACGGCCGTTCTGACTTCAAGCACGCGCCACTAACATGGACAAACTTCTCCAACATTATCGACGGAAAGCTAGAAACAACAAAAGAGACCCGCTGCGGCATCAACCCTGCAACAGAGCAAAGCAATCCCTCCGTCCCAATAGCATCAAAAGACGATGTCGACAAGGCCATGTCCGCTGCCCAGAAAGCTTTCAAACCATGGGCAGCAGAACCATACGCTGCGCGCCAGAAAGCAGTCCTAGCATTCGCTGACGGCTTAGAAGCTGAAAAGGAAGCATTTTCTAAATTCCTGACCCAAGAACAGGGGAAACCGGCAAGCCTCCAGGACGCTTGAGTTTATTTTCCATCTTCGCTAATGCGGGCACAGATACAATTCGCACGCATGGAGATCGACATTGCAGTGGCATGGATACGAGCAACTGCCTCATTTGAACTTCCAGTTGAGAAGACTGATGCTGGTGATAAAGAGATCGTTGTCCGGTACACACCACTCGGAGTCGCAGTAGGTATAGTACCATGGAATTTCCCCATCCTGCTAGCAGTAGGCAAGATCGCCGCCGCCGTCGTCACAGGAAATCCGATCATCATCAAGCCGTCGCCTTTCACTCCCGCAGGGGGACTGAAGTTGGTTGAATTGGGACAGAGGTACTTTCCTCCTGGTGTGCTCCAGGCACTGTCAGGGGATGATAATTTGGGGATCTGGCTCACGGCTCATCCTATACCTGCAAAGATTAGCTTCACTGGTTCGACGGCCACTGGGAAGAAGGTTATGGAGTCTGCGAGTAAGACATTGAAGCGTGTTACTCTTGAACTTGGTGGTAAAGATCCTGCGATAATTTGCGATGATATTGACATTGACGACGTTGCTTCCAAGGTAGAGTATATAATCCCCGTACTTGAGTACATGTATTAACTTACGAGGTAGATTGCTACTTTCGCTTTCCTAAATTCGGGGCAGGTTAGTGCTTTGTGATTTATGGGAGATCACATGTCTTTGTTGACGAGTTTTAGATTTGCTTTGCAATTAAGCGCATCCTCGTTCATGAAAAGATCATCGATGAATTCCGCAATGCTCTTGTCAAGCACACCAAACTTCTCAAAGTAGGAGAGGGCAACGAAGAAGGCGTTTTCCTAGGTCCCATTCAGAACTCAATGCAATTTGAAAAAGTGAAAGGATTTTTCGCAGACATCGAGAAAGAAGGCATGACGGTTGCAGTCGGTGGGAAGAACCCCGGTGGAAAAGGTTACTTCATCACGCCAACCATCATTGATAGACCCGCCGAGGACTCGCGTCTTGTTCTTGAAGAACCGTTCGGTAAGCATATGTTTGGTCCTTGTGATCTGACACTCAATTGACACGGTTGGAATTTAGGTCCCATTGTTCCCCTTCTCAGCTTTGCGAACGACGAAGAAGCCATTGACAAGGCTAACAATACGTTCTATGGGCTCGGGGCTTCAGTTTGGTCAAAGGATATCAAGAGGACAAATAACATTGCACAGCAAATCGAGGCTGGAACTGTCTGGGTTAACTGCCATTTTGAAATGTACCCAAATATCCCATTTGGTGGTCATAAGCAATCGGGCATTGGCGTTGAACAGGGACTGGCGGGGCTCAAGTCGTACTGCAACTCCCAGACTTTGTATCTTCGTAAGAGCAATCTCTAGGCAAGGATTTATAAGGGAGTACGGGTATTTGATGTAAAACATGATGGGAGGACTTTGATGACATATCTTCAAAGTTATCACTCTCCTACGGTCTTGAAATCGTTGCCCTACTTACTATTCGTCTCCCATTGAAAGCCCTTGGCTTCGATATTCAAATTGAAACAACTCCTGAGAGTGTTCAATCTAAAGTTGAAATCAAAAGATGCGCTTCCCATATATGTATGCTTGGGGGCGGGGTAAATAAGCGAGACTCCCCTAAACACGTTCTCTCCATCGAGACTCTGCAGGGGAGAGTCCTTGCAAGATGGAGCCGACAGCTGCTGACGAGTTAAGCGTTCTGGCGTCTACTTCTGAGCCTTTGGTGAATACTGTATATTTAAGTCGATCCGTTCTTTCTGCTGATAACGCTAACGACAACGGCGATGGTGGGAACGGCCACCAGATCACTATGGCAAGGGCATAACGACGAGCGCACGATTACGGAGTGGCATGGCGAGAAAAGCACAGCAGCGGGGAGGTCGAAGCGAGCGCGACGATGACAAGCACAGTAGATTGTTTGATTGATTTGTTCATACACGGTTCCAGCCGTCCGTTGGGACAGCTATGCCGGAATGGCCCAGCTTTGGGGGGAAATGTAAAAAGACCCCCCCTTCTCTCCCCCCTGGAGTGTCGATTGGGGGCCGGACTAACCTAAAGTAGAGAGGAACACCAAAAAATCTAGTTTTCCTTTAAGTTTAATTTACTATATAAAGAATTATTATAATTTAATTATTTTTTATATTATAGAAAGCCAGATTATAAACTAATAGGATATAAGATTTTTATTATATAATAATTAGTAGATTTTTTATTATTTTTAAAAAGAAGGTAAGGAAAGTCGGAATTTTTAGGGTACTATGAGAGCCCGAAAATTTAGTGATCAAGCGCCTGGAACTAATTTACCTCGTGCGCCATTATCGCCTTGCCTGTTTCACGCCCCAAATTAGAGCTCTTATATATAAACTTCCCTTATACCTATTAGGAATTCTGATTCGAGAGAAGGACTTAAGTAAGTACAAGTAACTAATTAAGCATTATTAAAACTCTAAAATCCATTGATTTGTCTAATCGACACCGGGGGGTGTCGTTTTACATTTTCCCTGTTGAGGTAGGAAAAGCCTGAGGAGTTGCTACCGGCTTGCAAGAACGCTTCATTGTAGTCACCTTCCGCCAATGCGATCACCGCCCGTGATCGCTCCCCAGCACAATCCCATCTGCCACTATGGCCGGAGCCGCCCGCGCGTGAACTGTCAGGCCCTAAGGAGAATCCGAGATCGAGTCGCAGTCGCTTTCGAGGTTGCTGTCGCTACTCCCAAATCCATCCTCCTACTGGCCGCGCTGTTATCTTGAGCATGATGGGTTGGCAGCCGCAGGATTCGAACCTACCAGCACAAGCCGTCTTCCTCGACTCTGGCCATGAGAAGAGTATGCACAGCAGGTGCTCACCAGAGAGGCAGTGCCAGCTACCTCTCCAGCCGCCAAACGAGCAAAGCTGAGCGAGCTGAACATGAATCGTCGTTTTCGTTAAGTTTAATCAATGCAATGATCACGGGTCTTGGCATTCGTCCAATGGAGTGAGAGATGGCAGGAAACAACTTCCATCTTCGTTCAGTGCCCACAATTTTAATTCCTTTATTGCGTTTTCGGTTGAGTCCCCCACTTTTTGTTGAGCCCTGCAGCTTCACCCTCTTATCAAACTAAAGCGCAGCTGAAGAGCGGTAAACCCGAACCATGGAAGCTGAAAACAAGCCGTTGAGAGCAGAAAATGAGCAACATAAAAGGCACGCGTCCTGGGACATCTCTGTTGCTGAACTACCTACAAGCTTCACCAACAATGCACAATGGTTTGGCAAAGGTTCAAAATTGACGATGGGAGTAAACCTCTCAAAGCTCTTCCAAAGCCCGCGGCCAACAGTTTCTTGACCACTTTTAGCAGTCGTGGTAAAATCCTTGGCGTTTTCTTCATTGCGTACGACGACTCTATCCAACTTCGAACATGGACCGACGGAGGACGCTGGAAGCGTTGGGAAGTCAGAGGTCCAGGCTCAGCATCTCCATCGACTCCCCTTGCAGCGGCGCCCAGAGATGCGACGTTGGCCATGTACTATGATCTCTTGTGGGTACAAAAGGATAGTGGAAAGCTTGCAATGTGCGAAATTGCGGAAAAAACGTCGACAGTTACTGAATTTCAGTCTCCACTTGAATTTTCGCCAACAGGTCAATTTAGGCCCAAAGACCTTCTCCAGGGAAATGGTTTAATTTGCCATATGACTACCAAAGAAGGAGATGTACCCTCGAATAAGACAACAATGGCCGGATTGGAGGTCTTTTTCACCGACCAATATGCAATCCGACGCTGCTACTGGAATCCAGATGAACTTTTCAATGATTTGCTCTCACCCATCTTGAACGACGCCCACAAGAACAGCCCTCTTACTCTTGCGACGACTTGGCATTCGGGGAATTTAGTCACATGGTTGTTTTATGTTGGAGCCAATGGCAACATCTTGTGGTATCTTCGATACAGAACTCTCGGTAGAGGATTGTCTGGGGTCATCGAGGGCTCAAAAGCTGCGGTTGGACCGCGAACTATTGCAGCAGTATGCATTGATACTGCTGAGGAAGAATCTCGAATTGTGCTGAAAGCACATGTATCTGTTATCACACCAGAAGGCAGCGTAGCTTTGTACATCGGCCAAGCCATCGAATCAGAAGAATGTTCTCGCATAGACTGGCATAGACACCCACTATACCCAGGAGCAGATCACCCTTACAAGATCAGTGGCCAAACCAGTTACGAAAACATCGGCATATGTGCTGCGCGTCGCACCAAAAAACTTTACGACGTGTATTGGACGATGCCCGACGGGTCAGTGACTGGTTCCCAAATGGCAGTTGAGAGCAACAAGCCTGATACAGGTGGTATTGTGCATAATCCGCTAGCTCCAGCAAACTCTGTTCATAAAGGCAGTCGCATTGCTTTGATTTCAAGAGATGTTGGAGAGATGGAGTTGTGGGGTATATCGCCAGACGATTGTTCTCTCCTAGCTGGTACCGCTGAATGTCATCCTCCCATGAAGCAGCTGGTGGACCTCGAGAAGCCAGAGGTCGTTCCAATATCTTTGCAAACTCCTTGGGCTGCTACCGACTCCCTTTTCCACTCTCTTTGGGATCCATACGATGTGGGTAAAGCACCAGACATGGCTCATCCCTCGAATATGGTATCGAAAAAGGACTGCGAAGAACGTCCAGTCTACATTGGGACACACAAGCTTCCTTTCCATCTAAATGAAGCTTCCTTTGATATCTTTACATTTCTCAAGGACGTTGCCGAAGACGCCAAGCACAGGCCAGGCCCATACAAAGATAAACCATTTCCGAATCCTACATACCATTGGGCCGTAATGGTTGGTGGACTCGAACACGAACTCAATGGCTATATCAATGGGACCATTTGTTACCAAAAAACAGGATGATTGCATGGCAGGATCAAGATCATAAATAAGCGAGAACACTCAATCTTGATCGAGAGGTCATTTGGGAGGCATATCTCGTTGGAAAGACAAGATTCAATGATAGAGCAATTCAAATTGCAGGTATGGTGAATTTGAAACTTCTGCTTTTATTCTATGCCCGAAAAACCTAATTCTAACTATGTTTGAATAGGGGAAGACGTAATCCGAAGAATGAAAGCCCGAGACGGTGAGGTATATCATCCGTTGACAAATAACTGCCAGATCATAGCCAATGAGCTTCTCCGCGATATTGCTCAACCTGGTCCCGTCGAATTCTTCTCTACAATGGTCTTGTACGAGCCATCAAGGCATGCCGAATCGGACGCCATCCTGAAGAAACACTGGAAGGGCTTCTGACCAATTGCAAGTACAAAAATTTTTGGTTCCTCATTCCTTGCCGTCAGACCTGACCTTAAGACTTCCAAGAGTTCTCTGCAACACCTATGTATGTGCATGTTGACCGGTGCGGTTTGGAAATCATGTAGCGTAGTCATTAACTGCTTCTCACGGTTAATGTCAATCTAGAGTATCACCGCCTGCCAATTACAGTAGGCACACGCAAAATTGTGCCTGTTAGCCTAAGGAAAAAGTCCTTTCCAGCCACAGCTTAATGCTGGCGCTTGAGGCTTTCATAGATACGGTATAATCTGCTAGGACACATTTAACTAATGCACGCTAGCAAGCACTAAGTCTTGAGGATACTCCCTTTTAACACACCGCCCGGATGTCCACACAAACGGCCAAATACCTATATTGTCGAAGCTTTATCGACATGAATGCAATTCATTAACTTTTTAGTTGTGATTTTACCCTCAGATTTACAAAGGAACTTTTACCAGTTTCTGCAGCCCCCTCCGTGCAATCGCCCTGTATTCACGGCGCGTTTGCTACCTTTGCTTGCTGTAATATACCCCCTGGGATCCTCCTGGAACTTGCGCAATCTATCAGCGCCGTCCTCAAACCAGGCGCCAACCTCGATTCTTCGAAATTCCCCATAACTGTTGCCGCCTGTAATGTACTTCCGTAATGGCCTCCCTGTGCATTGGCATCTGCACCTCGGTCAGTGTAGGCAAAAAATACTCAAGCTACTCAAGCTACTCTAGAGTAGCCTTGAGTAGAGTAGAGTACTACTCTAGAGTAACTCAAGAGTAGTCACGTGCAAGTCACGTGAGCGTAGTAAATCAATATTCATTTAATTATTAATCAATAAATAAGGTACCTATTAAGCAGTACTATATAATTTAAGCTAGAGGTTATATAAGGCTACTTAAATACTACTTTTCTTCTACAAAAAAACAGATTTCCCTTCTCGGAATCTTTTTTTCTATCTTTTTTTACTTCTTCTAATTCGTCTTTAAATAACCCCCAGCTTTTGAAGCAAGATATTATCTTAATAGTACTCTTATTAAGCCTATTATATAATTTAGATATAATAAGAGCACCTTGAGAGAAGAGTTTGTCCTTAATAGCCGAGGAAGCCTAAGAATATATTAAGGTTCTACTTTGCTTACTAAGCCTTACCACTACTTGATTGGGCAGTGCAGTAGCGCTAGACTCGGGCTACCCCGGAGCCTTACCCAATTAGGCTATCGTGTTACGTGTAACATCACGTGTGGTATCACGTGCATACCACTTAACTACTCTAGAATATTCTAGAGTAATTGAGTAAAATATGAGTAGGGCCCACTACTCTACTCTACTCTACTCTACTCATTTCCCATACTGATCTCGGCTAAGTAAAAGTTGCACCATGTTTTCATTTTCTTTGGCTACTACTGCTTGCAATGCGAAACAAGATAATCCAGGTGAGCGCTCCTCAATCTCAAATTTTCTTTTGGCCGAATTAGGGTTATTTATATGCGGCCGCTAATGTGGCAATGTCTTACCGGACAAAGGGATAGGATGCACTCGAGCTAGAAAACCTCTACTCTAGCTATAAAAGATAATATATTCGTTTACTTGGATATTCTATATCTCGATTTTTAAATGGGCTATAAATATGGAACTTTCTAAATTTGAGTATCTCTTTAACTTTGAACAAAATTGCCTTCAAGATATATATATATAGATATAATAGTGAATTCGCTAGTTATTATAATATATAGTATAAATAGAAGAATAAAATCCGTTATTAGCTCCTGAACTTTATAAAGCCCTAAGCCAACTACAATTATATAAAGACTATATAATAAAGAAGAGATCTTCTATTATCGTTAAGTAATCTAGAAAGAGGCTGGAAGCAGTTAAGAATCTGCTAACTTTAGTATAATGCGTATATTAATAGCAAACGTTAGGCTGGATTTAGTAGCCTAATTAGGCTAGTGCTTATGTGGGATCGCATTCCCTAATTGGGACTAGTGCTTCCGTACATCCAGCGGAACGCTAGATAATATATATGGAGGCATACGAGCTTTGGAAATGGGCATTGATTAGTTTCTTAATAGGAACTAGTTCTTGGAATCAATTATACCTCCACGCTTCACTCCATTCTTTACCTTGGATTCCACCCCCCTTACCTTGACTGCTTGCATAGCACCCTGCTATTATACGCCTCACATTTAGTCCTTTATAAATTATTGAGGAAAGCACGGGAAGGGCTATAGGGATATGCTTGCATATATACTAGAAGCGTACAGAAACTATTTATTTACTTAAAGAAGGGAGAATTACTAAGGAAAGGCTCGAGTAAGTAAACCTTTATATATAATCTAAAGCTAAATCAATTTTGAAATACTAGTTAAAGTAACTCCTAAATATAAATAGTTATTATTACCTAAAATTCGATTTCGCTATTTAGTATATAGTACTAGAAAACCGCTGTCTTTATATTAAAGTTAACAAATACTTTCTAATACTTCTATAGCTCACTCTATTTTAATAATAATTGTATCTTCGTCTATTGCTTTTACAGCTTTCCTCTCCCTTACCTTGCGATATTGCTACTGCACGTCTCCGTCTTCTTTGCTCTCAAATCTCGGTCTTTTCCGAGTAAGTAGCGAGGGAACAGTTTCTGGAGTGACCATTGGAGGCTCTATAACTGATGTTTTGCTCTTAGCTATCGGGTGTATATTTTCGAGTTCCTAGAACTATTTTTTAGTAACTGTGATTAATGTTCCTATATGAGGCCTACTTTTCCTTCTCAGGCTCAGTAATCCTTTCTGGGACAACTATTGCTCGATCTTCAGCGGCAGGTGCTACATTCATTTATGTCTCCAGCATCTTGTTCGGCACATGCTTGGGCGGATGGAGAGTGCTTGGGCATAGTTCTGAGGCAGACGCTGTCGCCCTGTGAGCGGAAGGTTGAGGCTAAATAATAGGCTTTGAAAATTATTTTAGTCGTAATATTAGCTCGACTTTAGAACAACCTCCAGACCTTGAAGTCATTCCTTCTTAGCCACACGATGTTTTTAGAATATGATCAAGAGCCAGGCCATTGATACACCAACGGCAATCATATTACGGAAAATCTCCTTGTCTACCGAAGGGCAATTCCTGCTGCGCACCTTTGCCAGCAAAAGCAACAGCGGCGTGCCCGTGACAAAAGTGGAGTAACTTTGGGTTATCACATTCGAGAATGGCCTGACACTGGCCAAGCGATTAGACGACGCGGAGATCGAGTTCATGCTCCCTATCGCCCACTGGATCGGGTACCGGGGTGTTATCGACTTCCACGGTGATGTGCTTGTTTAGAGGTTGCAATGTTACATCACTTTCCGTCCGATTCTCAAGTTTCATCAAGATTTTTCTTCTCAATTCGACTGGTGCTTCAGTCGTGCCTGTATTTCTTCAGCTCCAACCTATAACCACCTCTGCTAAGCTGACAGAGCCAGGATATCATACAACACACCTCGTGGAAAACCACTCAGCAGTAATATTCACTCGGCCGGAAGTTTAATTTGAATTTATGATTCTAAATGGGTTTATGGCATTGTCGCTTTTTACTTGGGAATCGTAAATCCCCCCCGTACATTCGTAGGATCGTAAACTCGTACAGAGCAGTGAATTAGTCCGGAATATTGAATCAAAATTTTTAATTATGGGTGAGTGGGATATTATTTACTTTGGATTGAGAAATCATCATCGTACAGTACTCTCCCACATTCGTAAACTCGGACGCAGCAGCAGATTAGCCAATAAGCACGACGACATCTCTGTATATTAAAGAGCTCATTTAAACTCTTGGTTTTATCAAAGTATGCTGTACTCCCAATCCACTTGATGACAACAATGGGTCCTCACTGGTTTCTCAGACCCAAACCTCTACCCCCTACTTCAGCATCCAAACTAATAAGGCAGTGCATACAGAAATCATTCCAGTCAAGCCTCCAGTTATTGCCACAGCCAGATCAGCTCGAGAGTAGACGAATCCAACAACCAGACCAATAATAAGGGATAGAAGCAACGCTATCGAAAGCGCCCAAAATATTGCCCGCTTGTCCAACTGTTGTCCAATCAAGAGTGCGGTTCGCGAAGGCGAGTTGGACAGGAGATTTGGATATTGGTCTGCAAATGAGGCGGAGGACTGAAACAACCAAGGACGATGGAATGCAGCTGAGAGTTCGGAAGATAGAGTTTGGGAGGAAACGATGACTTCGAGGAAACGCTCGCTGGGCTGAGATTCGACGTCTGGCAGACGAAACTGGAACTCGTCAGTTATAGCCTCTTTGATCATGTTCTTAGTTGGTGACTTACAGTTGATAGATTTGCAATTTCGATGACAGTAGTCCACAGAATCTGCCTTACAGGTCTTAAAATTTTGATTCTAGAGAGCTCTTGGCTCTTGATCGTGCGCAATTCGTTCATAACATGTCTGCCGCTTGTCGAAGCCATCAATGTCAAATGGAGAAGAAAGAATTGCTTATTTGGTCTTTGCACCACCACGCGAATGGATTCAATGAAGGCATTTGGGGTATACCCCTGGGTCTCGAGAGTCAACGAATCTGAATTCCAAGTCGCCTGTA